CATCCAATCCTTTTGACAATTGCAAACCGAACTCCATTGGTATGTGTGTCGGGTTGCAAGCATCCAAACCAGCTTCCTTAAGAATTCGACGAGCATAGGCTTCTTGCTTGATTTCAATTCCGTTGATTCCTTGACTCACTTCAATACCAAGGTAGTAAGTAAGTTTCCCAAGGTCAGACATCTCGAACTTTGAAGACATTCCAGCTTTAAACTCCTTGATGAGTTCCAATGTACTTCCTGTTACAAAAAGATCATCAACGTATACGGCTACAATCAAAATCTTAGCTCCTTCTTCCTTGCGGTACACGGAACTTTCCTTTTGACACTTCTTAAACTTCAAAGTCTTTAGAATTTGGTCAAGTTTTGTGTTCCATGCGCGAGGAGCTTGACGTAGACCATAAAGAGCTTTCTTGAGTTTGAAAACCTTATGTTCTTCTCCCTTCTTTTCAAATCCATCAGGTTGTGAAACGTAAACGTCCTCCGTTAGTTCACCATGTAGAAAGGCGGTCTTTACATCGAGATGATGAATCTCCCAACCATGTGAAGCTGCCAATCCAATCAACATTCTGATTGATTCTAACCTTGCAACTGGTGCAAATACTTCGTCAAAATCAATCCCTTCTCTTTGTGCATATCCTTTAGCAACAAGTCTAGCCTTGAACTTGTTAATTGTTCCATCAGCGTTCCTTTTGATCTTGAAAACCCACTTAAGACCAATCACTTTTACACCTTGTGGTTTCTCACCTAGATCCCACGTTTTGTTTTTGTTAATCGAGTCGATTTCCTCTTGACATGCCTTTGTCCATTCGACTGATTCTTTTGCTTCTTGGTAATTTAGTGGCTCGTCATTGAGTGACAAGAGAAGTATTTCACATTCTAGATCAGCTAGAAGTACATAATCAGCGAGATAACCTGGAAGATTACGTTGTCGACCTGATCTTCTCAGTGGTGCTATCTCTGTTTCACCATTGTCGTGATTCTGCACTTCTTCTTCCTCTGTTTCTTCTTGATCAACTTCAGGTTGCAAGCTATTGTCCGTGAATGGACCTTGTCCGTTGTCTACAGCTGCTCCCCATGTTAATCGAAACATTCCTGGTTGATCTTCTTCGTTTCCTGCTCCCTTCCAATTCCAAGACTCCTTCTCATTGAAAACCACATCACGACTAACAACCACTCTTCTCGTTGTTGGGTTGTAAAGTCGGTATGCCTTCGTTCCTGGTTCTATTCCAAGATGAACAAGCGTTTGTGAGCGATCATCAAGCTTTTTCAAGTGCTCTGTTTCCACCTTTGCATGAGCAATGCATCCAAAAATCCTAAGATGCTCGATACTTGGCTTTCTTTCTCTTAGGCATTCATACGGTGTTTGATTCTTTAGAGCTCGCGTCGGAACTCTATTGATCAAATATGTTGAATGTCTTACAGCCTCTCCCCATAAATAATTTGGAACATTCATTGCCTTAAGAATGCTCCGCGTCATCTCCATTAACGTACGATTTCTTCTCTCAACTACTCCATTTTGTTGAGGAGTATAGGGAGCTGTAAGATGCCTTCTGATTCCACTTGTGTTACAGTAATCTTGAAAATCTCTTGATGTAAACTCACCGCCTCTGTCTGTGCGCAAAGTTACAATTTTCTTGTCACATTCCTTCTCGACAAGAGCTTTAAACGCTTGAAACTTCTCAAAGGCTTGGCTCTTCTCTTTGAGCAAAATTGTCCACATATATCTAGTGTAATCATCCACTATTACAAAGATATATTGGTTTCTAGCAAGTGTAGCTGGAGATATAGGTCCACACAAATCTGCGTGTAGTAATTCCAATGCTCGTGTAGACCTATATTGTGTTGAATTTGGAAACGAATGTCTCGTCTGTTTTCCTACCAAACATGATTCACACAACAATTTCTTACTTGTGATTTTAGGCATGCCTTGTACCATCTCTTGTGTAGACATCGAGTTCAGCGTTTTAAAACTGATATGGCCAAGTCTCGCATGCCACTTCCATGGTTCTTCATCAATTCTTGAGTGTAAACATGTTGGTTTGCCTATTTTTAGGCTGATCTTGTACAATCTATTTGGAGAACGTGTTACCTTTGCCATATAACATCCATTAGGATCACGTAAGGTGAGATAATCATCCTTCATTCTCACATCACAACCGTATTCTGTAGC